AATTGCCAGTACCAAAAAAATAAAATAAAATTATAAAAACTAAAAAAAGGGCTGGGATGTGGCTCAGTGACTAAGTGCCCCTGGGTTCAATCTCTGGTCTCTGGTACCCCCCCCCCCCAAAAAAAAAAAAAGAAAGAAAGAAAGAAAAGAAAACAATAAGAGATAAAGATGAAAATGGGGCTGGGCTGGGGTTGTAGCTTAGTGGTAGAGCACTTTCCTCACACATATGAGGCACTTCGTTCAACCCTCAGCATCATATAAACATAAATAAAATAAAGGTATTCTGCTAAAAATATTAAAAGAAGAAAATAATGATTATATGAGGCTGGTTTTTATGAGGGTGGGTAATGTATACCTAAATGTGTATACTTAACCATAGCCTGGATCTACACTATGAAGGATTTTCAGGATAAACTTTAAAAAGCCACATAAACAGCATGCATTTTAAAATCAGATGCTGTCTAATGTCTCAGACATGGAACTCCTTGTAACCTTATTCATTAGAACTTGAATCAGTTGGATCAGGGAGCTCATCCAGTACATTAAAATTTTTGAAGGCCAAACAAGATTTCAGTTTATGGCAGCTTCCACACTTAAAGTTTAAAAGATTTCAGAATAAGTTTTCTTCATTTCTTAAATTTTTTTTTAATAAATAATATACCCAGCTGGGTACAGTGGCACATTCCTGTAATCCCAGCCACTTAGGAGACTGAGGCAGGAACCTCACAAGTTAAAAGCAGCCACAATAACTTAGCGAGGCCCTGTCTCAAAATATAAAACAGGCTGGGAATGTGGCTCAGTGGTTAAGTGCTCCTGGGTTCAATCACTGGTATAAATAAATAATGTAAACACAAAATTTCAAATATATAGGACTATACTTTTAAAATGTAATCCTATATTTATCTTTAAACACTTCACTATTTTGATAAAAGTGCTTCTTAGCATCTTTTCAAGTATGTGTACAGTACATGTATATTTTTGTCATTCTAACTAGGAGAGGTGACACTTTCAGGATGAGAGGAAGCCTTCCTCTTCTTCTTTTTCCTCTTCCCCTGCTTCTTCTTTCCCTTTTCTTCTTCCCTCTCCTCTCTCTACTCCTTCTCATCCTCCTTCCCTCTCCTTTTTTTAAATTTTATTTTTTCTGGTACTGGGGATTGAACTCAGGGCCACTTAACCACTTAGCCACATTCCCAACCCTTTTCTGTATTTTATTTAGAGACTGGGTCTCACCGAGTTTCTTAACACCCCACTAAGTTGCTGAGGCTGGTTTTGAACCTGAGATTCTCCTGTCTCAGCCTCCTGAGCTGCTGGGATTACAAGCATGCACCACTGCACCCAGCTCTTCCTTCTTTTTTTTTTTTTTTTTTTTTTCCCTTCCCCCAGCCCCCATGTTCTGGGGATTAAACCCAGGACTTCACACATTGAGCTACATCTCCAACCACTAAAGGTTCTTTTCTAATCACTGTAATACTCTAGAATAGACATTTAGAATGTATTTATTTTTCCCAGTTGATAGCCCAATAGTTGATATAGTGCCTTAAATGTTCAAAAAGCATTAGAAACCTTAGGAATTTCTGCCAAGTTCTTGTGATCTAATAATCCATTGTGTGACTCAGCAGTAGAGTGCTTGCCTACCACGTGGGAGGCCCAGGGTTTGATCCTCAGCACCACTTAAAAAAAAATAAATAAGTAAACAAAATAATCTATTGAAAGCACAGGATTAAATTATGTATTGAAAAGCCCAAGTCAGCTGCTCAAGGGATATACTGGCTGCACCCCTGCTCAAGTCAGGGAAGGGAAAAGAAAGCCACCTACTAATTATTGAATATTTAGTGTGTGCCTAGAACTTTTGCTTATTAAGGGACCTCAGAACAGTCAAGTGAGGTCACATAGGTTTAAAGTAGACAAGTGTAGTTAGAATTTGAACCATGTCTAATTCCAAAGATGTCTCCATCACCACACAGTGTGGTAGAGCTGTTGACTGGTCATAAAAGACAAAGAAAAATAGGGAACAGTATTGTCAATATCATAAAATATAAAAAGCAAGATGGAAAACAATGAGCATATATTATATATTGCCACTGTGTGAAATATGTGTACATTATATAGAGATGCACAAATGTATGTCTTATTTTTACATATGCTTAGCATATCTAGCTAACACAGTGGTTGCCTTCAGAGGTGGGCTGAAGTTTTGAGTTTTGTTTTGTGAGCATGTATAGCTTGATCTTCCTTCATCCAAAGATCCAAAATCTGAAACATTCCAAAATCTGAAGCTTTTTGAGCTCAGACATGATACCACAGGAGAAAATTCCACCTTTTCATGTGACAATCAAAATGCAGGTATATTTAAACTGTTGTAAATAAAATTACCTTTAAGCTATGTATGTAATGTATATGAAACCTAAATTAATTTTGTGTTTAGATTTGAGTCTCATCCCCAAGATATTTTATTATGTATATGGAAATATTCCAAAATCAGAAACACTTCTGTTCCCAAGCATTTCTGATAAGGGATATTTAACCTATATTACCTATTCAAAAGAGAAACAGTTTTTAAGGATAGTTGTTAGGTAGGTTTTTAGAAACATCTAGTTATTTTTCATATATACTAATCTATTTAATAGTAAAGTTTCACAGGTTTATAACTTTTAATGCTACAAAATAATTAATACTAGGTATTTTGATATTGATAAGCATTGACAATGATCTATTTAGGTTTTCAGTAACTATGATGCTACTCTAATGATCTATCACATTGGAATTTGAAAGAAGTAGAATAATGATATAACATGTATTATATCAACAGAGGTAATGATGATAGATTTATTCACATTCAATTTTTTTTCTTATGGTACTAGGGATTAAACCCAGGAATATTCTACCATAAAACCTCCAGCCTTTTTTTTTCTGTTTGTTGTTTTTTTTTTTTTTTAATTAACTAGGGCAGTGGTTATAGCTGAGTGGTAGAGCACTTTCCTAGCATGAGTGAGGCACTGGGTTCTATTCTCAGCACTGCATATAAATAAAAAAATTTTTAATTAATTATTTTATTTCTTTGGTACTGGAGGTGGAACCTAGGGGTACTTTACCACTGAGCTACATCCTCAATCCTTTTTATTTTGATTTTGAGGCAGGGTCTCACTAAGTTGCTGAGTCTAATGGATATTGCTAAGTCTGGCCTCAAACTTTGTAATCTTACTCTATCAGCCTTCCAAGTAGTTGGAATTTTTTTATTAGAGTTTTATAATTACACCCAGTAGTTGGGTTCAATCCTATAAACTTATACAAGCATGGAATTCGATTTCAGTTCATGACAACGTAGCTGGAATTTCAACTATTTTATTTTTTGGGGGTGGGGGCAGTACCAGGAATTGAACTCGGGGTACTCAACAGGCCACATACCCAGTCCTGTTGTGTATTTTATTTAGAGACAGGGTCTCACTGAGTTGCATAGCATCTCGTTGTTACTGAGGCTGGCTTTGAACTTGCGATCCTCCTGCCTCAGCCTCCTGAACTGCTGGGATTACAGGCTTGCACCACCATGCGCAGCCTCAACTGTTAAGGTTTTAGTGATCTTCAGTTTATCTACTTTTTAAAAACAAGAATACTGTGCCTCAAAAATGACATGTCAGGGCTGGAGTTGTGGCTCAGCGGTAGAGTGCTCGTCTAGCACATGCGAGGCCCTAGGTTCAATCCTCAGCACCACATAAAAATAAATAAATAAAATAAAGGTATTGTTTCCAACTACTTCCAAAAAATAAAAAATGTTTAAAAAAATTGACAGTCGTGACTGAAATAAAAGAAGTATTTTATGAGTCCTAAAACTGAACTTAAAAAAGAAAAAAGTTTCCTATTGGAGCACGGTGGGGCACACCATTAATCCCAGTGACTCTGGAAGTTTGCAAGTTCAAGACCATCCTCAGCAATTTAGCAAGGCCCTATGTAATTTAAGTGAGACCCTGTCTCAAAAATAAAAAATAAAAGGACCGAGGATGTTGCTCAGTGGTTAAGTCCCTCTGGGTTCAGTTTCTGGTACCAAAAAAAGAAAAAAGTTTCCTATCTACTAAAAGCCATATTTTAATTTGGGGCTACTTTCATGGAAATAGGGTATTTTGAATAAGCAAGGTGATCAGTTGTATCTGCTTTGTGTTTATCTTGAATATATTTTATTTATACTTATTTTTTTGTAATTGTACACAATACCTTTATTTTATTTATTTATTTATATGTGGTGCTGAGGATCGAACCCAGGGCCTTGCATTGCACATGCGAGGCGAGTGCTCTACTGCTAAGCCATAACCCCAGCCCCTATATTTAATTTTTGTGTCTATTTTTTTCAGAACTGCAATGATTTGTTTGTTTTACATAATTGTTCCCCAGTAGACTGGGCATTCCTTCTAAGCAGAATCCATGCTTCCTTTCTTCTTAGATACTTCTTTGATGACTACCTAATTCCTGGCTCTTAGTAGATGATGTTGACTGAATTGAATTGAACTTGATATACTTAGATTAGTACAGAGAAGGGAGAGATATAATCTGTCTTTCAGATATTTGAAAGATTCTCATGTGGAAGAGAGATTAAATTTGTCTTATTTGGGCTTCAATAGATAGTGAACCAATGGGTGAAACATTGAGAAGTCTATAAATGTTAAGTCTAAAGCTACACGTTACTGTCATAGGAGGCACTGAATCTATCTCAAGGAGATTCATGGCTCTTGACCTTTGTTTTATACTTTGTTCTAGATATTGCCTATATGTGATATATCATCAAGGTTATTCCTATGATGATATTACTAACTTGCCATATAGTATTCTTTTTAGAGAAGAGAAAAACAGTGTGAGAACAGTAGTGAGGAAGGAATTATGCATAACTTTGGTTATACTCATCAACATGTGAACATCTATACTATGTCTTGGCAGAAAAAAAAGTGTAATTTGGTTCTTATTTTTCATAGGAAATAAAAATACTAAAATTCTTCTTTGATTTTTGTTTATAGTAAAATTCATCCGAGAAGTAACACCATATATCAAGAAGCCATCCTTAGTATCAGATCTGCCATGGGAGGGTGCAGCTCCCCAGTCACCAAGCTTTAGTGGCAGTGAGGACTCTGGTTCTCCGAAACACCAGAACAGCACCAAGGACAGGAAGGTCATCCCTCTCAAAATGTGCTTTGCTGCTAGAAACCTAAGCATGCCGGATCTGGAAAACAGGTGAGCTGTACCTAACAAGAACATCAACATGGTACTTTCAGCTTTGCCAACTTAAGGACTTGCTAAAATACATACATGATTCTATTAACTAAATTATACAAAGGAAAGCTTCAATATGAGAGATTCATTTTTTGAAAAGACACACAAGAAACTGTTAATGGTGCTTACCCCTAGGCAATGAAATGGGAATAGAGGGTAGAAGGAAAGTTGGGACTTCTATTCATTTTATACTTTTCTGTAAGCTTATTGCTTTAAAAAACAAAACAAGCAAAAAAAAAAAAAAAAAAAAACTAAAAATTTAAAAAAAAAAAAAAAAAACTACAGTACTTTAGAATTGAAAAAACGGGTATTTTTTTGAGCCAGGCACATGGCACATACCTATAATTCCAGCAACTGAGGAGGCTGAGGCAAGAGGATTACAAGTTTAATGCCAGCATCAGCAACTTAGTGAGGGTCTAAGCAATTAGTGAAACCGTGCTAAAAATAAAAAGGGCTGGGGACTTAGCTCAGTGGTAAAGTGTTGCTGGGTTCAATGCTTAGTCAAAAAAAGATGGGAGTCTCATTGTATTGCTTAGACTGGCCTCAAACTCTTGGATTCAAGTGATATATTGCTTAGACAGGCCTCAAATTTATGGATTCAAGTGATCCTCTTGCCTTAGCTTCCCAAGATAGCTAGTACTACAGGTGTGTGTGCCACCATTCAGTTTAAAAAATAAAATAAAATAAGAAAAATTCTTATATTGTAGGTGGTGTTAAGAGTCAGAGATCTGCATTATATATTTGGCTGTCTCAGCTAGCACTCTTACCCTGGCAAGTTTACTTCTCTTGACCTCAGTTTCCTCTTTTACAAAATGAGAGAGTTGGATTGAATTTTTTTTTTCTAATGGTACTGGAAAATGAAACCAGTGATGCTTTACCACTTGAGGCACATCTCCAGCCCTTTTTACTTTTTACTTTGAAATAGGGCCTTGGTAAGTTGCTGAGACTGTCCTCAAACTTGCAATCTTCCTGCCTCAGCCTCCTGAGTTGCCTGGATTATAAGTGTGCACCACTGTGCCCAGCATATGACAATATTTTAACTTTATTTTTTATAGAAAAGAAAAACAGTAGAATTGTAAATAGTTTGGCACGAATTATGTACAACTACTAGAATGTGAATATCTATGCTATATGTCTTGGCAGAAAAAGTACGTAGAACTATTGACAGTGGCACCTCAGTTACAAAAGTTAAAATATTGGAATGAGGAATGTGGGCTTTGTAATTTTGACCAACCTATTTGTTTTGTCTATACCTTGACTTCCTCCTGTATAAAATCAAGATTATAGGAGGATTTAATGAAAAAAAGTTTGAAAAGTTGGCATAGTAAGACCCTTTTTAACAAATGGTTCTGGGAAAACTGGTTATCCATATGTAAAAGAATGAGACTAGATCTTATTTCTCACCATGCACAAAAGTCACCTAAAAATGGACCAAAGACCTAGGAATTAGACCAGAAAATATGCAACTCATAAAAGAAAATGTAGGGTCAACACTCCAACATATAGGCACAGGCAATGATTTCTCAATAGGACCCTGAAAGCTTAGGAAATAATATCAAGAATTAATAAATGGAATGGTATCAAATTAAAAAGCTTCTGCATGCAAAGGAAATAATTAAAAATATGAAGCCAGAACCTACAGATGGGAGAAAACTTTTGCTAGCTACTCTTCTGACAGAGGATTAATATCCAAAATTACATAAAGAACTCAGAAACTTAACAGTAAAGAAAAAAAAAATCCAATTAATGAATGGGCAATAACTCAATTAATGAATGGTCACTTCTCAAAAGAAGAGATACAAATGGCCAACAAATATATGAAAAAATGTTCAATATCTTCAGCAACAGGAAAACGGAAATAAAAACTTCACTTTTTTAATCTCATTCCAATTAGAATGGCATTCATCAAGAAAGAAAACAATAATAAAGCTGGAGATGATATGGAGAAAAAAACACTTGTTAGTGGAATTGTAAATTAGTATAAATACTATGGAAATCAGCATAGAAATTCCTCAAAAAACTAGGAATGGAATCACCATATGACCTAGCTATACCACTCCTTGATATTTATTCTGAAGAATTAAAGTTAGCCTATTATAGTGATAGATGCATGCCCATGTTTATAGCAGCACAATTCAAAGTAGCCAAACACCAGCCTAGGTGTCCATCAGTGGATGAATGGATAAAGAAAATGTGGTATATACATACAATGGAGTTTATTCAGTCATAAAGATGTACAAAATTGTGTAATTTGTAGGAAAATGGATAGAACTTGAGAACATTATGTTAAGTGAAATAGCTGGGCTGGGAATATAGCTCATTTGGTAGAGTGCTTGCCTCACATGCACAAGGCCCTGGGTTCAATCCCCAGCACCACCAAAAAAAAAAAAGTGTTAAGTGAAATAGCCAAATTCAGAAATTCAAAGGTCATGTTTTCTCTCATATGTGGAAGCTAAAGAGGAAAAGGGGAAGAATGGTTGGGGGCATCTCATGAAAATCAGAGGGATATCAGAAGAGTAGAGGAAAAGGACCAGAAAGAGGGAATTATGTTGGCCAAATTATATTGTTATATTGTGTTCATGTGTGACTATATAACAAAGAATCCCACCATTATATGTAATTATAATTTACCTATTTGAAACTGGAAAAATGAATAAGTATAAATAAGATAATGTCTATAAAATCACTTGTAGCTTTTTCGTCCTTAATTTTATCCAGCTCTGTCAAAGGAATTGTGAATTTATTTATCTTTCTTTTGTATTGATGGTCACTTGAGCTGTTTTCAGTTTGAAGATAGCTATTATAAACACATACTTTTGTGTGTGTGTGTGTGTGGTGGTAATTGTGATTGAACCCAGGGCCTCATGCATGCTAGGCAAGCACTCTACCACTGAGTTTCATCCCCAGCCTCCAACCCCCACCTTTTTAAAAAAATTTTGAGACAAGATGTTGCTAAATTGCTGGGGCTAGCCTCAAACTTATAATCCTCCTGCCTTAGCCTCCTGAGTAACTGGGATTACAGACATAAGCCACTACACCCAGCTATCATGAATGTATTTTTACAAGTCTTTTCGTGGGCATACATATTCATTTCATTTGAATAAATTCATAGGAGTGAAATCATGAAGTCCAAGAGTAAACATATGTTTGGTTTTATAAGAAACTGCCAGCCAGGTGGCTGAGACAGAAGGACCCAAGTTCAAAGCCAGCAGCAACAACCTAATAATAAAAAGGGCTAGGAATGTGACTCAGTGGTTAAGTGCCCCGGGGTTCTATCCCTGGTACAAAAAAAAAAAAAAAAAAAACTCTTCAAACTCCCTTCCAAGTGGTTGTGCCATTTTATGTTCCCACCAATAACATATCAAAGTTCCCATTGGTTTCTTCCTTGCCAACTTGGTCTTTTTAATATCAACTATTCTGGAGGGTGTTTAGCGGGATTTGATGATTTGTTGTGGTTCATTCTTCATTGTTATGTAAAGGCTTCACTTCTAATCACAAAATTATTTTAGATTAGAGGGAAACTTTTTTTTTTTTTTTTAACTATTTTACTATTTTGATTTGGTTCTACTACATAGAGCTGAAGAAGTTCTGAAAGGGAAGAGGAAGTTTATTCCCTTTTCCCACTTTGAATTTTCACTACCTCACTAGATGCTTCTGATACTTTACAAGTGTTTCGTTCTGGAATCTGAAAGCTAAATAAGTAATGATGAAGTCCAGGGAGAGAACATGAGCTGGTTCCTTAGCAAACAGTACTGTAGACAGTGTGACATTTAGCAAAACCAAGATGTTCTTAAATGCTGCTTTTCAGAAATGGTTCACAATGTCTTTGTCATCTTCACACTGTCTATTTTCCATGTAAAAGGTAAATCTTGATTTTATGACATAAAGTTATGTAACTAAATTGAACACACAAATTATGTCAAAGACTGTATTGAACAGAAGAAATAAAGTATGCTGGACTTCAAGAATCCTATGCTTCTGTGTACCTAAACATTGATTTGATTTTTCTGATCAAAATGTAATTCCATTTCTCAGGAAATCCTTGGTGTTTTGAGTAGAGGCCAAAACTTCACAGTGTGGCTGTTTGCTCCTCTCTTCTCTGGGCCCAATTACTGACAGAGTGCCTCCACATTTTTTTTTTAAATATTTTTTAGTTGTTGATGGACCTTTATTTTATTTGTATGTGGTGCTGAGAATTGAACCCAGTGCCTCACGCATGCTAGGCAAGCACGTTACCACTGAGCCACAACCCCAGCCCCCCACATTTTTATTAGAGTTTACATTTGAATTTTTCTTTTATAAACAGCAGGAGACTTTAGGCATTACTCTGTCCCCATTGTTAGTTTTAGGGGCTTCTTCAAAGGCAGACTTTTCTGGATCCTAGCATCATCAATACTATTTTGGAGTTTTCTTCTTTGTTCTGATATAATTTCCCATTTCATAATGACTTTTCAAGAAACTACAAAAGTGGTCCTACCCTGGGAAATAAGTTACTACCTATTTTCATCTTTGAACCCTGGTTCTAATATTTACTCCTATTTAAACTTCTTTTTTTAAATATATAACATATTTATTGATATTAATGATTATTATTGTCATACTAATGAAGTATTTGTATTTAAATATTAATATCTATTTAACATTATTTTTAGATAAAATATTAATTCTTTTTAAAGTGAAACTTAACTGAAAATAACATACACTAAGCTTAAGCATAAAAGGTTGTTATAACTATAAGTCTTAAGGAATACAAAAAAGAATGAGTCAAATATTAAGAGACATTTGGTAATAATGAAAGAGACCACACAGAGTTGGGGTTGTGGTTCAGTAGTAGAGTGCTTGCCTAGCATGTGTGAGGCACTAGGTTAGATTCTCAGCACCACATATAAATAAATAAAGGTCCATCAGCAACTAATAAAAAAAAGGGACACACATCACGAAAATTTAATAATTATAAATGA